AGTGCAAAGGCATCCCAGCTGACAAACAGGGCTTTCCTGGGTAATGTTGGGAAAAGAGATCTCTGGGCATGAGCAACTTTTGGCTTCTTCCTTTTGAACTCCCCCACGTTTCCCCCCAACAAACTGCCTACATCAAGATGCCAGGTTCTTGTTTTGATCAGAATTCCATGACTTCTCATCCTGATGAAGTCCTGGGTCTATAGGAGGGGAGGGTCCTTCAGTTTGTGTAGTGCTCCCTGTCTAGGATGAAGAGCTATCCTGGTGGTGTCCTGAGAGCTTCCCAACTCTTGGATTTTTGTCCTTAATGTTTCCAGCAATGCTTCCATTCTAAATTGTTTTCAGTGGTCTTCATTTTGTTTTATGTGGGCAACCTTTGAATCTTCCTGATGCCTAGTCCACTTTCTAGTGTTCAGCAGTATTGATTTATTTATTCATCTTTTAAAATGTAATATTTTTCAAAAGGTGGGATTGTTCTCCATCCTGGATGGACTGAAAAGCCAGCGAAATTGGAAACTTTGGGTGAGCTTCCTTTTGGGACAGTGACTCCTCCACCATGACTTTGACTTTCTCAACACCTGACCAGGTTCCTCTTACTCCCCAGAACAGAGGGATCTTCCAGTCTGGCACAGGGTGGGAGGGAGGCCTGGGTTTTGGGGTAAGGGGGCTGTGGGTTTTCAGTGTGGTGGCTCCCTTGCTTTGTTCTGTCGCAGTCTGTTCTTGGGCAGACCTTCAAAGCCTGGCTGGGATGGGTCCTGGGTGTGTAACTAGACCCCATTCATGCACATTTCTCTGAGTTTGATTCCTGTTGGCAGTGGGCATGCTTGGGCCATAACTGGGGCAGGAGCCAGGATTCAAATAGGACCCCAGGTCCCAGAGGGGACAATGTCTTCTAGGGTCTGGGTCCTTCACAGCCAGTCCAGGGTCAGGCCCATGCAGCCGTCATGGTGAGCCGTGGCTTGTTTACAGGTAACAGCCAGGCACAGCTTCATGAAGCTGCAGCACAGGAGCCCAGAACAGACCCAGACTGGGTGAGTGGAAAGACAGTCCACTGGACACAGAAAGGTGGACACAGAAAGGGAGGACACAGAAAGGGAGGGAGCGTAAGGCAAGGGCTAGTGGCAAGAGTTTTCTTGGGTGGTGTCCGGTTATGTGGGGAGGTAACCAACCGCGCCATGAGAAACACGGCAAACTTGTCATGAAATGCTCAGGACAAATGCCCCCGGCAGGCAGTCCTGAGTGTCCCTCTTCTCCCTACAGCCAAACCCTGTCTAGGGTAGGGCAGTC